GGGGGGGGTCATTTAGCCCAATCCGCTCATTTACCAATGGGAAAAGTGAGGCCCAAAGGAGGAGGTCAGAGGGCAGGGAACAGTAGGACCGAATCATAACACAGGATCCCTAAGTGTAAGCCTGTTCTTTCTGCTGCAGGCTACTTGCTCAGTGTTAGGAAATCATAATTAGGAGGACATCATAGTTAGGACCATGGATGTCACAGTACTTACCCCACAGTTACTACCTGACCAATCAGGTATCTAATAGAGGTTATATAATATAATATATGATGTGGTGTGATAACATAAGGTAATGTAATACAACAACTATAATAGGAGTCACTATGAGAATGTTTATCAGGTATCTGGAACCAATGAACCAAGCATTTTCATTCCTGATAATATTTAATCTGTACTGCAACTGTACAGTATATCTCTATTTCATAGGTGAGGAAAATGTGGCTCAGAGAGGTTAAGCAACTCACCTAAACTCACACAGCTATTAGGTGGCAATGTCTGAATTTGAATACAGAACTGCCTGATTTCACTAGACAATAATGCTTTGACTTAAAAGTGTATGTACCAGCTGCATTTTACCAACCACTTTTCACAGATATTAATTCACTCACTAGGGGTACATCTGGGTCTAGGAGAGGCCTGAAACCTGGCACCATTTGCTAATACAATCACATAGGACATTTTTGTGGTATAGCATATGAAATATATTTATTACGACCCTCAGAACAAACCTAGGAGGTGGACACCAAAGGCACTGTTACCCCAATTTTATTGAGGGGGATGCTGAGGCTTAGACACTAGAGGTCACCCAGCTTTATGGCCAGCACATAATGGATGCTTTGCTGATGAATGTCGACAATGATGGCTTCTCCTCCAAAAAGCCTTCCCTGTCTTCTAGGCACAAGGGGCCTCTCTCGGCTTTTATTTAAGTCCCTTGCACAGTTCTGTCTCCTGGCTTGCCAGGGAGCACTTCTTCCTCTCTCCCACATCAGTGATTCACGCTCAAGTCTTATTTATTCTGCTACATTAAAATTATCTATGCAACCACAGCATACCGCACACTCAGTAAATACTTGCTGAACGAGTGAAAAATTGTGATTGTGCGTATTAAGAGGTCTTTTTGAAGGACTCAAAATTGAAACTTACAGCGAACCCGTCTTACAGCATGTGAACATCCACAAAGATGATACACTGCAATGTTCTTATAAAACAGTAACGTGAGAGAGAGCATAAATGTCCAACAGTAGGGGGCTGATAAGTGATGAGACATCCATTCTATGGAATACTATATAGCCATAAAAATGAGTACAAAGAAGATGGGTAACATGGGGAAATGTTCGTGATATACCATCTAGGGGGAAAAAAGTAGGTTACCAAAACAGTTTGTTTAATGTGGCCTCATTTTGTTTTTGGTGAGCACACAAACACATGCATGCAAACACGTGGAAAAAAGACTAGAAGGAAAGGCAGGAAATGTTACCTGGGAGTATCTCTGGGCAGGTGGAATCATGACAATTTTAACTTTTCTCTACAGACATCTTGGTATTTTCCAAAATGTTTTCACAACGATAAACATGTATTTCTTTTGAAAAATGGAGTGGGCATTAAACCTGAATTTTGCTATCAAAGGGTGTGAATTTACAATTTTTTCCAATTCTAAGCCTGACTGTGGTATTAGACTCACAACTCCTGGGAAGTTAACCATTAGGACCTCAATCAACATTACTGCTTGTACTTAAAAAGCAAGGCCTTACTCACCCCTGGGGTTGGTCAGTGTGGCTTCGGTGGCCTTGCCACCATCCCCACAGCGAGTGTCATCAAAAGGGAGGCACTGGTCACCTGTTCCTGCGACCACCTCGGAGTTCTTGACAAGGTCCTTCACCACCACGGTGGACTTGATCTTAAAGACCCTCCGGCTGTTGGTGTCCGAGAGGAAAACAGCCCCGCTCATGGGGTCTGTGGTCAGGTAGTATTTGTGCGCTGGGCTGTGACTGGAAAATAAGGACACACCAGCTGGTGAGTACTTTCTTTCTTCCTATCAGCTAACCAGAGATGTACAACTAGACTTCATGCAAAAAGTCATATGGCGATGGTGTCCCTCTTTTGGGTGATTGTTCCCTAATTTTTCTGACCCCAGTGGTTGGCTTAGCTATCCCTCTTACCTAACTAATAATACAAAAAGCTCTTGCCAATGACTGTGATGTCCAGCCAGAGCTATGTCCATATTAGGTACTTAATACATGTTTTCTTAAAAGGATTATCAATGAGGCTTACCACAGGTGGCTTGTAAATCCAAGCCAGAAACAAGAGAGGGCCTGACTTGAAAAAAAACACCTCAAGAGTTTAAAACACAAGATCTCCTCCTGCAAGTTTTTATAGCAGCCCTACTGCCTCCTCGGGACTGACTGCTAAGTCCCTGGCCAGATCTGACTCCCAGTTGGTGGCAATATAGTCTTCTGTCTATCCTCACATTATACTTATCAGGGGCCCAGCAGTCTTCCTTCTGCAGTCAGATGTAATGAATTGCAGGATTAGTTTATAATTTGCAGCAACACCCAAGGGAAAATAAATAAACCAAGAGAGTAGTTCTGATGATAGTTCCATATCTGCAAATCAGTCATCATGACAAGGCTGTGCCAACAGAGGAAAGCAAAGGCAGACCATGGTTGTCTGGAGGGTTGCAGAGACAAGGTGCTACCCCTCGGCACATGGCAGCAAAGAGGCACAAGCTTAGGAATCAGATCGGTCTGGGTTTCACGTCTGGCTCTGTCATTTCCAGGTTCTGAAACCTGGGCAAGTTACCTGGCCTTCTGGGCCTTAAGTTTTCTTCCTCTGCAAAATGGGGTATTAACAGCCACCCTGTCGGTATACTGAGAAAATTATATAAAATCGTATGTGAAAGATATTTAGCGTAGTGCATGGCACATGACAGATACTCAATAATTGTGACTGTTCTTTTAATTCCTAGTCATTATGTCTGGTTTTGCAGCTGGAGAGGAAGACAGACTAGGTATTCCTTATTAAGCCTGAATTTTCCTATCACATGGTACAGCTTTATAATTTCTTTCAGGTCTAGGCCGAATTTGGAGCTGGAATCTTAACTCCTGGAAACTAATTTTCAGTTCCCGTGCATGGCCTCGTTACTCCAGGTCTAGGCCAAATTGGAGCTGGAATCCTGGAAACGAATTTTCAGTTCCTGTGCATGGCCAGCCTCAAACTGCATCTTAATACTGGTATCCCCTTCCAAGTCTCCAGAATGTCTTCCAATTCAAGGGAATCTCCCTCTGTTCAGGTTGGATGGCCCGGCACGGGCCATTTCCACTGGATGGTGGGATGTAAACCGTGCTGGGGATTCAGAGGGCAGACTGAGCAGTGTCTATAGCACCAGCAAAGTAGGCGCGCTGTCAATCCTTCAAGATGCAAGTAAGACAATCAGAAGAGTCTAGAAGGAAGCTATTTTATGTTTCATCGGGCATGCAGGTTTTGGGTTCTTTTGAAAAACAAAATTTTATTTCACAGATTGGTGTTTTTTGAATTACATATGAAGACTGGGGCATCATAATCGTTTCAGTGTCAAGGTCCCTAAAGGTTTTAATCTGGCCCCAACTGTCTGTCATCATAACCATCCCTTGCTTTGGGTGTTATCTTGGGGACGGGCTGCTTCTTAACAGGGCCAGGTTCCCAGACCTAAGATTTCCCTGTTGGTTTTCTCTCCCTGAATTAGACTAAGGTGACGTGATTTTCTCCAACTGTCCTTCCTCTCTAGCTCTAACATGGTTGTCCCATCACATCATCCTTTTCAAATAAAAGGCAGGTCTCTCCGACTGCAGCCTGGGTCCTCTCCAGGCCATTCTTCCTTGTTGTAACCCAGACATTGTCACATCACCCCAGTGCCCTCTCTTCCAGGGCGCCCCATGTTTTATAGGCTGATTTCAGACTCCCCAGCCTAGCAACACTCTCTGCAGCTGCCTCGTATCCCCCGGTACGCCCTGCAGTCCATAAGGGACATCTGGTCCCACACACACACCTCCACACCTCCCTGTAACTGCTGTTCCCACTCTGTGCAGTGTCCTGTCCCCTTCCCTTTCCAGCCTGCTAAACTCCTACTCATTCTTCAGGTATCAGCTCAGTGGCACCTTTTCTGGCAAAACCTTCCCTAACCCCTGTGTGTGGAGATTCATATCTGCTCATAACTGGGTTACAGGACACTTCACATAATGCCGTGGTATTTATTTATGTGGCTGTCTCCCAGATCTGACAGTCAGTCCTTGAAGGGAAGAGATGGGATTTTATTCATTTTTGTATTTCTAATGTTCAACTTGATGCCTTCTAGGGTATAGCTGTCACTTGCTTTAAATGGATGGTACCTCCATTTTGAGTTTATTTAAATACCATTTTCACTCAAATTACTTGGGTGTTTCTTTTCCTTCTCTTTTGAGGGAAATGGATAACAGGATAGATGTGCTGTTTATGTTGAAATGTCCCTTGTGACTTACCCTCTAATGCAGCACAGATTTGATCTTCCCAGATGACACTGATTCTGGCTAAATAAAATGCAGTGACCTTAGATCCCAGTCTGCAATGTGGGGCAGCCCGGATCTCTCTGCTTCCCTGATGACAGCTGCGAGGTGGGGCGGTGAGCGGGGAGGGGTGGGGGGACGGGGAATCATTTCATTTCTTTGTGCATCACTCATGATAAACCGGTGCTATCTACCTTGGCAGAAAATGTGTCCCTGCGGGAATGTGGTGGGGGCCCTGTCCACTTAGATTAGCCCCCTGAGTTTCTGGCTCATGTCTTCCTGCAGTGACCCAGAGAAGTGCCACTCATGTACAGTTTCTCAGCTCAGTGAATTCCAGAAGAAGGTGGCACCAGCAGGATTGTCCCAGGGAGTCTGTAAGAGCCGTGGCCCATCTTCTCTGCTCAAGGACATATTTGAGGTCTGGCAGTCGGGTTAGTGTAGGGGAAAGAACACTAGCTTTGAATTTAGAAGATGTGGGTTCTCACTGGAGCAAGTCCCCTAAATCGCTCAAACTGTAGGTCTCTCGGCTGTCAAATGATTAAGTCCCTGCTCTGCGTTGCTCACAGGCTTGTCATCAGGATCAAATGAAATTATACATCTCAACAGCCCTTTCTGGTTGGAAGAGCACTTGGACAGTCTTCAGCGCCCTCCTTCCTCATGCCACCTGCACAGGGAGCAGCACCTGGGCCCCCATCGGGGGCAGGGCCACCGTTTGGCGGAACACAGCTTGGAGAGATGACTGTCACTGGTACGAAGGCATCCGCTACCACCTCTGGGTGTGTGTTCCGTCCCAGACACCATCCTTGTGCTCTGCACGCACAGCCTGACGTTCCTCACAACTGCCATGTAAGGCAGATGTTTTTTTTTTTAGTATTTCAGAAAACTAAGACCACCAGAGGTGAAGTGCCTTGACCAGAGCTAGAGACTGCTAGGTGGCAGGATGGGTTTCTGACTCCAATCTTCTTGACCTAAAGGCTGTGTTCTTCCTATTTCCCTACACTGCCTCTCCAAGCCTAGGAAGCACCATTGCCCTTACTCACTGGGGAGCATCTGATCACGTCCAAGTCCTGAGATCCAGTTCCAGCATCATTTCATCTGAAATGCCATTCCTGGATCCCCAGACCCCCAGACCCCAGACCTCCCCTAGAGAACTGGCCACTTGCTTCGTCGTGTCACCAGACCCTTAGCAAATATACTTTTCCTACCTGTAGGACCTTAAGACACTGTTCTGCTTAGTTGTCTGTCTCCTCAATGACATCTCGAACTCTTCAAGGGCAGGGACCAGTTTCGAGTCCCTGCTGCTTGGCCCTGGGCTGGTGCAGAGTAAGTGCTCCAGAAAAGCCCACAAATTTATGCGCCGGTGAATGAATGGCTATCCATCTTGCTGGGAGCATACAGGGGAAATAATAATGGTATGGATCTTACAGTGATGGTTCTCAAACATGGTTACACAGCACATTCACCAGGAAAGCCTAAGAAAGAAAAACCTCATCCACAATATCTGAAGAGCCTGGGCATCTGTCCCTTTAAGATCTCTCCAGGCGACTCTGAGGCACAGCCAGATTTGGAAACTGAGGCCTTAGAGGCATGCTCTTCAAATTTTAATATGCAGATGAATTACCTGGAGATTGTATTAAAATGCAGACTCCAGTTCAGCAGTTCTGAGGTGTGGCCTGAGAGCATATGTTTCTAATAAGTTCTCAGAGGATACCAGTGTGGTCTGTCTGCTTGCTTTGAGCAGCAAGGCCTTTGAATACTCTCAAAACCACGGAAGGTGGCCTACAGCTGAAAGCCCCGGGATCAGCTCTGCAGCAGGGACCATGTCTGAGTCGGTTCTGATTCCTGGTATCTTGAGCCGGGCTGGGCACAGAGAAGGGTCACAGCTCTGTTTCCTGAGTCCACTGTGGGACCCACATTCTTTTCTACCTCCACAAACGTGAGCTTGGCACTTCTGGAAGCTACGTACACACTTGGATGCTATAAGAGTACCATTCCGGACATTCATGAACTGAAATCAAGCCTCACACTGTCCTCTTTCTGGATGGTGTGGGACTTTCCTGATAGGAGCTGGGAGTCCAGGGACTAGAGGCAATCTATTCCCTGCTTCTTAGTGAGAATTCTCCCTTTGTCTCAGAGTAACTAGCATCCTCTGACCACATTTGGTGGCGGCCCTGGTAGAACTTGATTTACTGGTTTTTAGAACCAGGGGGGAGAGCCACAAAGACAGAGGTTCAAATACTGGTTCTACCACCCACTTAGTAGGTGACCTTGGGCAAATCACTTCATTACTCTGAGCCTTAGTTTCTTCATCTAAGAAATGGGGATAATCACAACTACATTAAAGGGCTACTCTGAGGACAAAATTGTATAAAGAATATAAATTTCTTAGCATAGTGCCAGTTCCATTAAGAAATAAAAATGCCCAGGGGCGCCCGGGTGGCTCAGTTGGTTAAGCTCTGACTTCGGCTCAGGTCATGATCACACAGTGAGTTTGAGCCCCGCATCGGGCTCTGTGCTGACAGCTCGGAGCCTGGAGCCTGCTTTGGATTCTGTGTCTCCCTCTCTATTTGTTCCTCTGCCCCCTCTCTCTTTCAAAAATAAAGATTAAATAAAATTTTTAAAAAAGAAATAAAAATGCCCAATAAATGGCAGCTGGTCACCTGGAGAAACCTTCAGAGTATTTATGTTACTGCATAATGGAAAAGCCAAGTATGTCAGACTTAATATTGTCCTGCCCAACCTACTTCCTGGGGGAAGTTAGGGCTTTCTGTTGGAGTTAACTTAATACGTTGGTGGAGATTGATGAAGACCTGAGTTCAAATGTGCCCCTTGAAAAAGGCATCAAGCATCCTCTATCACCCTGGGGAAGAGATCCAGGAGGAAATGAGGATCCTCGTTCCCTGAAAGGGTCCACAGAAGAAGATGCCCAAAGGATTAGGGGTCCCTGTGCGGTGGGCTGGTATGGAGGCTGAACAGCCAGAGGCATGCAAGGCTGCCCTGGGGAGCATGTGTGCAGGCTACCATTCCTGGGAACAGCTGAGACAGTAAATGCTCATGGACAGAGAGGATAAAATTTTAGAATTTTTAATCCGCTTCTGACATTTATGAATGGGGACACCAAGGCCTAGAGAGGGGAAGGGATTTACCAATATCCAGGTGCCAGTTAAAATCAGAGCTCAGACTTAGGTGTTTTCATTCCAGATTTTCTTTAAGAAACTAGAGAAGGCAGAAACAAATTCCTTTTTTCCTTCCACTTGGTTTTACTTTAGAAATAGTTTTTGGCACCTGAGAAAACGATGAATTGAGGGAGGGCAGGAAACTGGCTTTGAAATCATGCCATGGATGTACCAAAAGATCACTAAACATCAGGCACCAAAACCACAGCTCTCACAGTTCACAGATGACGAGACTGGAAGCCAGAAAAGCGGGATGCCCAACCCAAAGCCACACAAGTGCACAACAAAGCTGGACAAGAACCCTGACCTTCTAATTCTTCCCAGCTCGGTCCCCTGTAACCCCGCTGCGACCCAGGCAGTTACCGCCACTCACTGAAGGTCTCAACGTGAAATGCTAGGTTTTCACCCAAGATCTTCGTATGAAATGTACTTCTATGTTTTCTCTAAAACTGAACCTGAAGGTATCTATCGATGTATAGTTCAGTATCAGCCATACAAAGCTCACTAAAAATTCTTTTAGATTTCCGTGTCAGGAAAAAGTATTCTCCCCTCTGAGAAGTGAGCACATTTTCCCATTTCTGAGAATGCAAACCATGAGAAGAGTTATGTTTCCCTGTTTACTCTGGCTGCCAGGAAGTCCAGGGTCTAATCTGACATACAATCACACATATGTGTTTCCTCTTGTTACCAACTTCTATTTAATTTACTTTAAGACACGTATCTTTGGTTGTAAGAGGACTGAATTCCTTTTTGGGAAAGTTGACACCATCATCATCATATAATTGTTATGATGATGATGATGATGATGATGATGATGATGATAATACTAGCAATAATAATAGCAGCCATGTCTGGAGCTCCCCTCTGTGCCTGGCACAATGCTAGATACTTTACAAGTATCCTCTGTAACCCTTAAAACGGCTTCCAAGAGAGATTTTGTTGACCTCAAGTCAAAAAGTAAAGCTCAGAAAGATGAGGTGATTTTTTTTTCAAGGTCAGACAATGGGTGGGCGGGGAGGGGGCGGGTTTCAATTTTCTCATCTGTAGATTAGATGTGCCATGAGCACCTACTTCACAGGGTGCTTTGGGGATGAACTGCTATAGCCCATGTAAATCCATGAACCTTCTTTCTGCCTCACGCTAAATGCTCTGTCCATGTTATTATTATCTTAAAATAATATATACGATTGTTACATTAATACCATATCTAATTACATAGATACGGATATGATCATTATTGGATTTGGGGTCTGCCTCTTTCCGCCAGCCTAAGATTTTCTTTTATTCCCACTCAGCACCCAGCCCACGTGCCACTTTGGTATGAGCCACCTGTGGGTAACTGCCCCACTGTGGGGCAGCTGTGGGTAGCTGCCCCAGCTCCATTTGCCCACGGCTACTTCAAGTCACCCAGATGTGTGTGAGGCAGGGGACTCTGAAGTGACTGTTCCCCAGGAGTCAGAAGAGTGCCCCAAAGACAGTGGTGCTGATGGGCAGACGTTTCTCTTGGTGTCTCTGATGAGGTGGCTCCCTTCTGCCTGCTGAGCCTCACTGTGAACCTACACGACAAATCCACTCTGTGATAAAGCTCCTATTTGATGAACCACCTATCTGGGTGGTTCATATGGCCTAAACATTCCTCCCCACTCTTCCCTTGCTGGCAAACTTTCTGGTGGGGTCACCTAGCATCCTAGCCACCAAAGCCAAGGCACCTGCAATGCCCACAGAAGTGCAAATCTGAAACCTGTCTTTGTCCAACTTCTTCACCTGGTTGAGATGTTCTCAAGACGTCCCATTGTGACCATGAAAGCCATTGAACACAGTTAGGAGGTTGTCCTCATTTACTCCAAGGATAAACGGACTGGTGTTCAAATTACTATGCCAAAGTTAAAATTGTTTCCCCTATTATTTCAGTCTGTCATGTCCACAGATTACCCAAGTAACTGCTACACTTTGCTAGAGATTAGAGGAGTTCGGGCTCTCACCTCCCACCCCCACCATTATTAATGACTTCCTCTCATTGTAACTGATTACCTCCAATCAGTTCCAATCACACAGGATCCATTTGCTAGTGAGCCATCTGAATTTGACACGTGCAGCTTACCACACAACATGCAACAAGGCAGAGGAGAGACAGGAAATTCTCCACTGGTTGGCTTACCTATGTCTGAAATCTTTATTTCTGACAGAAGACAGGAGAGCAGGGAATAGAAGAAAGAATGAGGTGTTAGCAGCGGGGTTAGAAGCATTATTAGCAGCCTGAGAACTTGACAGCAATGGTACTGTACAATACTATAATAAATAAAGACTTAGCAGCTATGACACTGATTTATTTTATATTGGATATTACTTGTCAGTGAGCTCACTTACAAGCAGCTACATATCACAGAAGAGGCATGGCTTCACCTGCACCACTACTGCTGACTTCGGGGAAGGGGATGAGCCTGACACACGCGGCTGCTCTCACCAAAGCTAAGACAGGGGCTGCAGCAGCGGCTTCCCCCCCACCCCCCACCCCGTACAGAGACACGCTCCCTGAGACACGCATGTTCACTGCTGTGCCTCTGTTGGTGTGCACAGAGTGCACATGGTGTGCCTCTGTTGGCTGCCCTACAGAGGGTATTCAAAACTTGCGTAGTCCACCATGATCCTCCTCATGACAGAATACAGAACTGGAGACATACCATAATTAGAAGGGCAGGGGGCGGGGGCGGGGGGGACAGGCCGGGAAGAAAATACATCAAGATTGACAACATATTGATACATGTATTTTTCTTTCCAAATTTCATTTACTCCTCCCTTCCCTACTTATTTGTCTTCCACGATCTCCCCTCAAAGGTGGGAGGCAGGGAAAATGGGGCATCTATTTGAAGATGTGAAAATGGAGGCCCAGAGTGGGTAGATGTCTTGCCCACAGCTGGACAGCTTCTCTGCCAAGGTGGGCTGACCCCTAGGCTGTGGTTCTTCCCATTACCCTACAGGAGGTGGAAAGACAATGTGAGCAGCTGACTGGAGCAGACAGGCTTACGGGTTCCTTGTTCCCTGACAGATGTCTGTGGCAGTGAAACTCATAAAAGAGAGAAGAAAGGCAGAGAATATTCCATTGGTGGTTCTCACAAAGCCTGATATCCCACTTCCTATGAGTCCACAGAATTCAGGCTTCTGATTCTTGTCATGGCCAAAGACCTCCTGCTTCATTTGTCTCTGTGTGTGTGGGTGACTACGAACCCTCTCCTCTTGAGGGCTGCCATGACCGTGGTCAGCTAGCAAGCCTTCCCTTCCTTCACATGGGCACTGCAGAGACATTCTCAGCAGGCAATTACTTCCAGGGGATAACTTAACAAGGCATTAAAGCCAAAGTGGCCCTCTTTGGGTCAGGTGACAATTCTTTGGCCATGCAGAGCTGTGTGATGGACTTTTGGGCTTCGGTCCGCCATTCTAGAAGCTGGACCTTGGGCAGATTCTTTAAATTCCCCGAGTCTCCTTGGTCTTGTTTGTCAAGGGCAACAGTGGTAAATATCTTGCAGGACTGTTATACTGGGCAAATAGTTGGGACTTCACAGAAGTGAGTTTCCTTTTCCCTGGCCAGTTTGGAAGAAGGCTTTCCAGCTCACAGGCCTGTTCTGTTCACACGAACTCCTGCCCAGGACATGGGCAGATCCTACTCCCTAAAGCAATTTTGAGGAACTTGGGGCAATTTCTCTTGAAAGGGAGTGTGAGGCAACCCTGTCTCTAACCACAGCTTCTCTGTAACCCTAGAACCCACCCTGTGACAGTGCTCTGGTTCTAAGAAGACCCAATTTAGGGAGTCTAGAGAAAATGCAACCCATCAGGCCCTTCCCCGAGCTCTAAGTATGGCTATGCTCCATCACTCACGGTTGGGATGGGGAGAAAGAAAAGGTGGAGTCGGCTGGCCCTGCAGCATGCTAGGAGCACAGAGGCACTGCCAGATTTCAGCCCATGGGCCTTTATCTCAGTACCAGACAGCTGAAGAGGACTGCTGTAACTCGGATGAGTGTTTAGTAACAGGGCCAAACCTACTAACGCTGGCTTTGTCCATTCTGCCATCTTTGTCCTTATAAGAGGTCTCATGAGACTAATTTCAATCTGTTTGGTGCCAGGAAACAGAAAGAAGTTCAAGGCCTTCCAAAAAGTCTAATTCCTGGTTGTTAGCAGCCTTCTACATCTTCTGGGCATCAAAGATATCCCCCTACCCCACGAGTGGCTGGTCTTCCTTTCAGTGCCCGGTGGAGAGCAGCACCTGCTTCCCCAGAGCCCCCAGCTTACAGTTTAGCCCTGAGTTGGGAAGTGAAAAGTCTCAGATGGACTCTGACAGGTGAGGCTCCTCTGGGTGTTGTGGGTAATGCTAGGTGGGCGCCACGGGATAGCAAAGGGACAGTATTAGGAAGTGTGAGGAGGACATCACCTTACATACCTCAACTCCAGGATGTTGGTGACATTCCCAGAGGGGAAGATCCTCCGGATGTAGTTGAAATCTCCCACGTAGAGGCTTCCGTCAGAGCCGCACGTGAGGGCCACGGGGGCCAGGAGTTTATTGCCGTCGGCAAGGCCATTGCAGCTGGGGCAGGAGATGCTTCTCCGGCGCCCATTGCCCATGATGCTCCCGATGACGGGTGGCTGCTGAGACACAAACTGGTTCTCCCCATTCCCTTTGTGTAAGATGCCTGGGACAAGGACAGAAGAACAGAATCACCTATGGAGCAGGAAATGGCTGTCTTCTGCGGCTGACCACAGAGTTGCCTCAATTTTGCAAGGAATGCAAGATCTCTGCCTACCATTTCCAAGACTTACCCCCCAAGGCTGCCACACCCCCATCATGAAACCCAGAGTGTCCTGAACAGGCCATGCTGCCTTCCTGATTGAACGCTCTCAACAACTCTGTAAGATAGGAATCACTGTCCCCTCTGGATGCACAGGGGGGAACAGGCTAGTGGCTTACCTGAGGTTACACGGAGAGTAGCAGAAGTGCTCTTAAGTCCAGGCCCCTAATCATTCAGCTCCACTCCTTCTCAAATAGACTGTACACATCTCCTGTACCTAGTCCCCATCTCTACTGCAGTGTGGATTTTTTATGACACATGTTTTTCTCTCTTTAGACTGAAACCATGTTATTTCCCTTTCTATATTCCCAGTGCCTATCGCAGAACCTGACACAGAGTAGATCTCAATCAATGTTTAGAGAAATGCATGAGTGAAGTTCAGTCTCTTCTCACCAGGGTAGATTCAAGACACCTGGGTTTTTACCTGGTTTTGCTCCTAATGGGCTGATCCCAGATGTTGTATTGGCTTTCCTACTGTTTTAACAGGTCTTGGATCTCCGTTTCCTCACCAGCAAATGAAGGGATTGACCTCAGTGACTTGTAGCCTTCATCCCATAGCCACACTGTTTATTTTGGGCCCAGATCATCCTTTATCTCCCATATTATTGCCACAGTCTCCAAACTGGACTGTGCCTCTGACCTCACTCCTTCCATACTGAAGCCTGAATGAGTTTTGGGTTTATGGTCACAAGAATCTTCTCCTAGGCTGTCACCTATTAGCTTTGTCCTTTATTAAACAGGTATCTTTCATTTTTACCTAGTCCAATCAAACCATTTTCCTACTCTAATGTTTGTGCTTTTTGGTTTTAGGGAATCCTTCTCTGAGATCATAAAGATATTCTTCTGTGTTTTCTATTAGTTTCAAAGTGTTACCTTTTACATTTAGATCTGTAATCAATCTTGTTTATTTTGTATGTAGTGTGAACTTAATTTTACTTTTCTTCACCCACTGAGCCAGTTTTTCCAATACGATTTCTAAAATAACTGTCTGTCTCCACCGAGTATCCATCCTGTCCCCCATCCTTTTTCTGTAGCCACAGAACCCCTGATGTTTGGCTGTCCAGGTGACTATCTGGAACCGCCTACACTTGGCAGGTGACTAAGTTCTAGCCAGTGGCATGGAAATAGAAATGGGGTGGGCAGCTGTCGGGAGGTGTCCTTGCAATGGAAAGGGCTTGCCCTTAGCCCTTTTCCTCCTTCTTGCTGGATGGGATGTGGATATGAAGGCTGGAGCTTCAGCGGTCACCGTGAGCCATAACCTTGGGGATGGAGGCCTGATTGGAGCAGTGGGAGGGGAGGCGCCTGAGCCCCTGAGCCAGCAGTGTGCCAAGCCAGCCCTGGGTTATCTACCTCCAGACTTTCAGGCGAGGGAGAAACAAACTTTTTGCCTGTTTGCAATTCTGTTATTTTGGCTTTGCTGGCACTCGTGGCCAAAATGATTCCTGATGACCACTTATAGGTCAGTTTCTGAACCCCGTGCTCTGTTCCATAGAAGCTATTTATCCACTCGGGTACCAGCACCACAGTTTTGGAGACTGTGGTTTCTTTTAAGACGGATACCAAACCGTCTGGCAGTACCTCTTTTTTCCTTTTTCTTTTAAAGGCTGTCTCAGCTATTCACAAATCTTTCTTCTATCATAAAATTTAGAATTAGTTGGTTAGTTTTCCTTAAACCTTTTTTTTATTCAAATCGTTTTATTAAAATTATTTGGCAATTTTAGTAGCAGTGCAAAGTTTTTGACTCTGACCACTGGACACGCTTAGACACGAGTTTATGATATTTGGTCTGCTGTGGGTTTGGGTGCATGTACTTTTCCAAACCTTCTGCCCTTCCTTTCATTACCAAATGGCAAAGTGCCTTAAATTTCGCTGTCTACAATATTCTACTACTGGATGACAGGAATCTGTAAAGTAAGATTGAAAAAAAAATCCATAGATTCAAAAATTCTCTGCAAATATTAGGAACATGTAAAGTATACTAGAGACACAATGTTGTGGTTTTGAGTAGCATCCAGGGCCTCTCCAGAGTAGGTGGGAGATGTCTGACATCAGGAGCATATTTAGTTGTCCCATCCTGGAACACAGTCAAGGTGGGCTATCTGAAATACAGAGCTGATTATGTCACTTGGATGCTTGAAACCCTTCAGAGGCTTGACATCGGCCTCTGGATGAAGTTCAAAGTCCCAGTCTTCTGACCCTGGGCTCTGGCTGCTCAAGCTCTGGCTTTTGCTTCAGCTTTTGCCTTCACTTCATCCTTTGCTCAAACCATAAGAAACCTTCTCTCCAATTACTCTTCTTTTAGACTTCTTGGCATATACTGTGCCTTCTGCCTAGAATGTTCTCCCTACTTGATATATAGGGCTGATCCTCTGGATCTTTTGAGACTCAGTTCAGAGGTTCTCTCCAAAGAGACACCGTGCTGAACCGGGAAACTGAGTTGCTGCCCTCCATGCCCCAGTGTCCTGTGCTTTTGTGTGTGATGGCACCATCCACGGCACAGCCTGGAGACTGCCTGGGAAGTGTTTGCTTCTGACCAGAATATCATCTCTTGAGGTCTTTCATTTCTGCATCTCCACTGCCTAGTTGTGACAAGCACAGAGCAGGCTCCCAAGGAATATCTGTTGACTAATCCTTCTGATGACTGATCACATACAAGCCCATGTAATTTGAAGTGTGCATTTTTTTTCTTTTTTAAATCTGGCAGGGCACAGAGGATACGAGACAAGGGCCACACCATGGCCTGGCTCCTGGAAATCTGTTAATGCACTTACCACTTTGGATGTTGAGGGCATGATGTTTGTCTAGGCTCCATCCTCCCAGCTTAGAAGCATCGATTTCATATCCCTGCAGCACTGCCGTTCTTTTTTCCCAGAGGATCAGATCTGGGCAGGATTCATACTCATAACCCACGGAAACTGTAGGAAACAAAAGCGCACAGATGAGCAAAAGCGCAAAGTGCACAGGTGAGTAAAGCCTCTTCTTTGGCTTTGATATGCACGCAAGGCTCTGGCTTGTCTTTCGTAGAAAAGGAGAAAAGGTCATATTTCTAAGTGCCTTAGAAATCCTGAGCCTTAATATCCTTTTTTAATAGAGCAATTGTGCATTATGAGGAAAAGTTAAAAAAAAAAAAAGTACTAAACAATTTAAAAAGGACCCAGGAGAATCAATTCCCAGGAAATAATCCTTTAGCATGGAAAATACTTCAGGCACAAAACTCTTCACTGCAGGACTATTTATAATAGTGCGAATCGGAAGTAATCTAAAAGTTTAAAAGGGGTTACAGGTTGAGCAAATCAAAGTGTACCCACTCGATGGGGCCCCTGGATGGCTCAGTCGGTTAAGTATCTGACTTTTGATTTTGGCTCAGGTCATGATCTCATGGTCGTGAGATTGAGCCTGGCATTGGGTTCCATGCTGAGTGTGGAGTCTGGTTGGGATTCTCTCTCCCTCTCCCTCTGCCCCTCCACAGCTCTCACGCTCTATAAACAAATAAGTAAGTACGTCTTCAAAGTGTACCCACTTGAGGAATATTATGCAGCCACCGGATAATTTGGTTATGAAGATAGTGGGGTGTTATGGAAAATGCTTACGGAATAATGCTAAGTTGTATATACAGTATTCTATCTAGGCTTAAAAAAAAACTATACACAAACTATAAACGAGAAAAGAAAATAAAATGTTAACAAGTAGTTGTTTTATAGAAACATGTATGAATTTATTTATATTTTTGTCCATTCATCAAATTTTTATGAATGATAATGGTATTACTTTACTAAAGAAAAAAGTCAAGGTCGTTTATAATGAATACATGGAAAAAGAGTTCACTTAGGGTACTTTGAAAGCTGGAAGTTGCTTTGAGTCTCAAAGCTTGAAAATCCCCTGGTTTCATTTCTGTTTCATAAATCCAGACCTCCTCAGGAGGGCACCGGGATGCAGGCTAACCATGGCAGCCGTCCCGAGACTGGATTTGTAAAAAGCCCTGTACCTGCCCTGTGGAAAGGAACCAGCAGAGACAGGAATGCCATTTCTTTCAAGCATCTTTCTGTGCAGACAGGATCCGTCAAGAGGTCAATATCCTACCGCATGTTCAGGACAGGAATTAACAAGTGGACAGTCCCTTCAAAGTTTCTTTAGGTGCCATAAAAGTTGTTAGCCATCTATGGCAGGAGGGGAATGTTCACAGGGACATCTTCTGTGTGACCGTGAGTCCCTTAAGCAGCCTCTACGCCTCCTATTGGTCACCTAAGGGAAGTGAGCCTCAGCCCTTGAAGTCCCACTATGCAGACACCTGCCTTTGTCCCTGGCTGGTGGACACTAAGGATACCCATTTCACCTGAAGAGGTTGCAAGGCTTTTTTTGTTTTTTTTTTTTATGAGACCCCAGAAGTACTTTGAGTTACAGAAGGGAAAGTGGACAGAAAGAGACGGCATCTTCACTCCCAGCATGCCCTTGTGCGGTAGGGTGGGCTGCAAAACTACAGGGAGGGACTGGGAAGAGTCCAGCTCCGTTCCTGTCTCATCCATCCTTGGGAGGTCCCCTCACCTCTCCCGGCCTCGGCTTTCTCTTGCAGAATCCGAGGACAATTTCTGATTCACAGGGTGGTTGTGAGGATTAAGTGGGATATTAACGTGCAGGGAAGCACACTGTTCAGAGCAGGTGTTCAACAGACATTCTCTTATTGACTGCCTGCCTTCCCTCCCTCCCTTCCTCTCTTTCTTCTTTACAACATTATTTCTCCTCTGCTTCCTCATTCTGCCATCGCTCAATCTAATAAGGGAATGAAATTGGAGTAGGTTTCAAGATGAGAAGGAATTTCCTGGGCTGATACTCTACGTGTTTGGGGGATTAGCCCCGCAGGGGTTAGGTCTGCTTACAGTCCAGCTCTGAACCCTTCCTGGGACTCTGCTATGTACGGAGGCTGGAATGAACACAGCCAGCCCCTGAAGCCCAACGTCTGAGTGGGGCTGGGACTCCAGGTGAGGCCACAGTCACCTTCTGCTTCATCTTAAAAACAGACAGAAACAATGAGGAGGGGGGCCCCTGGGTGGCTCTGTCAGTTAAGTGTCTGACTCTTGATTTCGGCTCAGGTCACGATCTCACGGTTCATGAGTTCAAGCCCTGCGTTGAGCTCTGTGCTGACAGCATGGAACCTGATTAGGATTCTCTCTCTTCCTTTCTCTCTCTCAAAAACAAATAAAAACTTTAACAACAACAACAACAACAACAACATCAACAACGACAGAACCTCTTTGATTGCAAATAAGGTAAAAAGGCCAACAAGCCTTCCCGATGAAGACAGAATCTTAGCTCCTGCACCTCAATAACTCTGAAGAAACCCAGGAGCCCCAGACTCCCACATTTCTCATGGGTGAGTTCAGGCCAGATGGTTGTGAGGGGGCCATAGCTGCATCTTCGTGGCACAAAGCCTCTTTTAGCTGTCATATACCACCAGAGCACTTTTCAAGGGCCCTTCTGCTTTTGTAACCCCGTTTAAAAAAAATGATCAGCTTTTCCACATTCAGGTCTTTGAGTACATTCTCTTAGGTCACGGATGGCCACCAAAAAGTCTTGAAGGCCGACTAAGCCGTAGGAATTTCTGGGAAGAGGAAGGGAGGAGGAAGAAACACGGCAAGTGGAAAAAGAGCCCCCCGTCCCCAAGCGTCACTGTGTCTCTGAGGATGGCCTTGAGTCCTGGGGCTGAGAGGCTTACCGAAGGCTTCCGAGAGCCCGAACACCTTCTGGTTGTAGACATCTGTCTTGTCCCAGATGAAGTAATAGGACAAGTCCGGGGCCGCAGCAAACCACTTCCTGAAGAGGCGGCCCTCCACTGCCACCATGAGGTGCACCTTCATGAGGTTGAAGGGGATGGTAGGGTGGGTGAGGCTGATCCTCAGGACAGATTTGTAGCCAGGGGTACGGCTGCTAAGGTAGTTCAACCTCATCTTGCAGCCAGAGATAGCGATTTCCTCCTGCAGAGCCTAGAAGACAGATTACACAGCAAGTGACGGTCATGGACTCGTGGGAGGAGGGGGGCTGACAAGCCCCATGTGCTCTGGGTGTTCAAGAGGTAGAGGAGGAAGCAGAGATGGGGGACGAGGGAGAGGAGGAGCAGGAACTAGAAAAGAGAGACGAAAGAAGAGGGGGAGGCAGAGTGTGAAGAGAAGCAGGAGGAAGAGGGGAAGAGGGGCAAAGGGGAAACGGGAGGGAAGAGGAGGGATCCAAGAGTCAGGAGGCCTGGCTCCGGACCAGCTCCATGTGGTACACCCCGGCCCCATTCCACGCGGATGACGATGCTCACCCTGCTGCATTAGTGAGAAGAACACATGAGATAATGCGTGTAAAATATTTATCATCATGTTGCCTCTCATTCACTAGCTATGCCCTCTGAGAAACGCGTGCAAGCTGCCGAACGTCAGCCTCCTCTCCAGAGTAGTTGTGAGGATTGAGTGAGGTCACACATATAAAGTGCCCAGCCTATGACAGGTACTCAGTAAACAGGATGCTGCTGCTGCCATTGGTGCTGGTGCTGGGAGCTGAGGGTAATATGAAGACAGACTTTCCTTCAGACTAATACGGACAGCCGCCTCAGCAAGGGCAGTTTCTCCCTCAAAACTTTCCTAAAATAAGACCCTCAAATACCTTTCCTCTTCAGGAAAATAAACAGAGACCATAAGAGGCTGGCCAAACAATTATGCAGGGTTGAGAGCACGGTCTGCCAAGGGCCTGTGGCCAATGCCTCCCTCCAGCTCACCCACAGAAAGGGGTCAGACTGGAGGCATGGAGTTTCCATGCCCCATGCTGTGCTAGATGAACAGAATGGTGGGGAAGGTGGCACTTTATCTCCTGTATGTAACGGGCTCATTTCCAAGATGGAAACTTTAAATCAATGTCAGGGTTCTCAGGCACATGGCGAAAGCAGAGAACTTCTATCAGCTTGATGCTCTGGGTTCTGTTTTAAGAAGGGGACATTAAATCAATTGAGGCTAACATATCCATTAAAAGGACAATGATTATTCTACTCTGGTGTTCATGGAGAAACTGGGCCTTCACAAAGAAAGCTTTTTCCCTTCTGTCCATTTCATATCACATATGGGGGTGAGCTCTCCCTACCCCGTTCTGAGCACACAAAATTTTAGGGACTGGGGCTAAAGCAAAGCAACCTTCCTAAAAATCAGCTTGCAGCTTCTAGACAAAGAAGGCTCTATACCCTGGTGAACCACAGGCAGGGTTCGAGTGCCATCCTGACACTCTCATAAATATTTATCTTCAACACACCTTTTACAGTGTACATCTCCCAGTGCTTGAGAAGGCTGGCCAATGATAGGGCCAGAAAAACCCAGGAGCTTGTTTTCATGTGTTTCATGAATCTGATAATAAGCAAGGTTTGTGACCCAGCTGGGCTCACAGACACCCAGCCCAGGGAGCGCTGCGAACAGGGTGGGACCTTTAACCTCATTTGTTCCAAAGTCTCTGCTCCTGGGAAAATGTCTAGATGGAGCTGAACCAGGGTTGAGTAACAAATTACTTCTCTCCAGCAAGCTCTGTCTCCGCTGACAACCATTTCAAAAGAAAGGTCAGCCTGGTAGTTGAGATAGGAGACCGGCGCCGAATCTCTAAAAGGAGCGAGGTTTTCAACCTGAGGGTGCAATGAGAATTTCAAAATGGCTGTATGTCCTTGTGGGCTGGCGCCAGAAGCCCATCAGCAGGACACACACACACACACACACACACACACACACATGCACACGCACACACAGATATGACTGCTCAGCCAGGCATGAAACATACACACGAAAGTGTATACGCTCCCTGCTCCACAGACCCCTGCAACCTATTAACATGCACATGACCAGAGCTCTTGGTGGGCAAGCGAGCGAGCCTGGGACCTCTCCCTGCCATCTCTCTTCCCTTGGCCTTTGTTCCTGCCATCTGAGATTGGGCTGGGATGGCAGAAGACATCTGACTCTCCACAGCTTTGTTAGGCCAAGAATCTATCCTGGTTTCAATCCGATTAGACTGTATCTTTCCAAATTACTTCCTTTTAATGATAATTAAGTAAAGCACTTGTATGTAGAGATTTGAGCCAAAGCATGCCTCTGGCATGAAGGCAGTGTGTATAAAATAATCTTAAATAAGAATAATACTGGAGAAAATTTATTGAGCGCTTACTGAGTGCTACACCTTGTGCTAAAGCGCCTCATGTATATTTTCTCACTGAACCTTTATTATGATGCCTGTCTGTCCCACTCCTGTTGGTAGAACCTATCATGATAAATATTTTCCACAGAAATGATGATAGAGGGGGACATTGGAGGCTGGGGGGAAAGGAAAGTGGGAGTGAACTGGATGGCAGAGTGGAAAAGGAGTGGGAGTTTATTATATGCCTGAGTGTGCCAGGAAGCTTCCAGTGCTCCTGTGTTTTGAGTATGGAAGAGGGGTGACCATCATACGCCACGGCTGCTGTGGGGTCTGGCAGCTGGATTCTGCATGGTGGGCTGATGAGATCTCCCTTTCCCCTGTCTCTGAGATCCTCCTCCACCCCACAGGTGAATAAAAGCACAGAGAAATATGGCTAAGAAAGCTGGGTACCTGAATTTCTGGAACGATGGGGCCTTTCTCTGCACAGGAGCTGGCAAAGGACGTCAGCGGGGATGGAGACACGACAGGGTTGGGGCGGGCGAAGTTGCTCAGGTCACAGCTGGGAATCTCATTCTCCTCATGTCGCATGATGATGGTTTCCATGACAAAGAAGCGATCCCAAGGCAGCCAGAGGGTGTGCTCCTGTGTGATGAAAGGTGCCCGCTCAAACCGGAGGATGATAGAGATGCCGCCATTTGTGACCAAGTCAAAGCTGTTTGAGAGGGGGAGGGGTGGAAAAAAGGGGGGAGCAGGAAAAGCAGGAAACAGGAGATGAGGAGGAAGAGGATAATGGGTGGGGGTGGGGGAAAGAGAGACATAAAGGAGAAAAAAATTACACCAAAAGGTCTGAGCACTTGTTGAGGAGACCCTAAAACCTAAAGACTTCACTATAACCACAAACCGTAACAGAGATTCCATAAAGCATTGGTTTTGGGGGAAATGGTTCATTACAGAGATTTTACCAAAACCGACATTAATAATCACTGCTATGGAGAGCCATTTGCCAGGACACAGGACAGCTGATGAGCTTCTGCTATGGTGGTTCTGGTACCTAGGGACCCTTAGAGCTGAAGCTCAGTGAAAAGTCAGCAGAATAAAGTGGAACAAGTCCTGCCCTGGTATTAGGAGCCCTAAGCCTAGTCCTGCCTCTGCCATGAACTACTGTGCGATCTCGAGCACATCACTCAGCCTCTCTGACCCTCAATTTTCTCAATATATAAAATGAAAAGGTTCAAATGGATTTTTTATTCAAGTATAATTAATATACAGTGTTATATTCACTTCAGGTATACCATATAATGCTTCCACAATTCTATACGTTTCTCAGAGCTCACCGAGATAAATGTACTCTTGACCCACTTTATTTCACCCATCCCCTCTCCCACCTCCTTTCCGGGCAACTACCAGTTTGTTCTCTGTATTTAAGAGTCTGTTTTCTTTTTCTTTTCTTTTTTTTTTTTAAATTTGTTTGCCTCCTTCTTTGTTCATTTGTTTTGTTTCTTAAATTTCAAAGGGATTATTCTTAAGTCACTAAGATCCTATGATCCTACGGCAATTTTAGCTCTGATTATGATAGATTACTCAATGCAGGCCTTTGGAATTACAAAAAGGCACAACTGACAGTACGCGTGAGGTGGAAAAGGGAAGCTGAAGACTGAGGCCCAGACTCCCTGCTGCCGTGAGGTCTCTGTGGTGTCCAGGAGAGCCGGTGGCCAGCCGGCCTCTGTTCACAGCCCTCTCCCAGTCTGATGCTTTTCTTCTACGGAATCACCAGCAAGGGACCATTTGGTTCCCTGTGATGAGGAGTTTGCTATATCCACAGAAGGACTGTCCCATCTTCCCTTAGTTCTGTTAGGACTTGTTATTTTCGGAATTGAGCCTGGGTCCCTCTTCTTATAGCTACTTAGCCACTGGGCCTTGTTCTACCTGTTGGGGTGACTCCTTCTGCCCTTGACAGTCCTTCAGGACTTAGAAACAGTGGCCCGGTCCACCTGCCACCTCTCGGCTGTGATGTCTCTGGACAGAGTCTTTTAGCCACTACTTGAGGATGCATTCTCAAGGCCTGTCCTCATCTTGTTCTTGTGGTTGGAGAGCTCCTGCAAACTCCTTACTTGGTCAGAATTCTAGCTCCCTCCCTCTCAGGGCACCATGTGCCCTCCTCCTCTTGGCCCACCACACACTGCCCAGGAGTCACATGTTTATTGCTTGGCCCAGGTGCATTGATTCCTCATTCTTTCCAGAACCTAGCCCAGCGCTTGTCGCCTATAGTTTACAGAAGGACTGTATGAATGACGCTGTCAGTTTCTTCTGAACTGAACACCCTAGGCTCCTTCCTACTTGGGCTGTTGTTACAGACCAACCCAGCATTCACCCGTGCAGTTGGTTATAGAGACTCTAACACAGGACCTCACCTTTATGCGGGTTTGGGCTCTCTGCTCTGGCTTGCTCTTCCCTCTCCCAGGGATTTTACGATGAACTGCCCTGACCTAGTGCCAAATCCTGTTCCTGACAGACGATGCCCCCAGATTCAGGATTCTAGGCTCTGGAGCCTGACTCTCTTGTCCTTTGCTGAAACTTTCACCCACTCTGCCTGCTCCTCACTCAACCCTTTCTAGGCCCACACTTGGGTAGCAGAAGTAGGACAGTGCCATCTTCAATAAACAGTGATGGAGTTTGTTCTGAACCAAGAGTTTAGGTTTTGGCTCTCTAAGAGAATATCCATGGTTTGGGGAAATACCCAGAGAACGACTTTCCTGTCATAGACCTGAAGAGCATCTGTACTTTGACAGAACATTTGTAACCATCAAACAGAACTTTGGCCCAGCTCACGAGCTCCTTTCACGAGAGCATGAGCGTGGGGAGGAAGTAAAGACAAACTCGAAAAGACATATTCTCAAGGTGGTGAGTGGGCTAGGGGCAGCTGGCCCTGCCAAGAGCTGGGTGTGACTGGATCTTGCCAAGAGCTGGGCCTGTTCATCTGGAGGGAAACCTTGTTGTGGATATGGATGTGAGTCTGACCACAAAAGGAAGGCCTGGATCTCAGGCGAAGCCCAAACAGCTCAGGGCCTGTCTAAGCACTGCTATTCACTCCATAGGTGACTTCTGTCACCTGTCTGAGCCTCAGTCTCCTCATGTAAAATGGTGATCATAACCACTTGGCAGTTATTAATTAGACAGATGGGATAAGGAATGGGAAAAGCCCAGAGCCCCACTCCCAGGGCATCATGCTCCGTATTCTCCCGTTTTTTCAATTCAGCGAGCCCGGACTGCTTCTTTTGTCTGCTATTCTTTACAAATTTTTCTTCATGGCTTCTATTTTCCATCTTTTTATCGATCTCTTTGGCTCTAGTTAAGTCTTGATGTCTGGTATTTCAGTGTGGTGGGTATGTGAAAGGGACCGGGGAGCTGGGCGAGAGTGGGCAGCCCAGTGCCTGCCTGGGAAGTGAGGGATACAGAGCTGAGTTAGACTTGGTCCACAGACTTGTATACGCTGTGACATTCAGGCTATGTCTCGGGCCTTATGGACTCTCCCGGGGTGTGAGAGATAAGAAGGAGGGCGAAAGAAAGGGAAGCTGAAAGGAAATGGGCAAGATTCATACATAACAAACAGGGATCTGCAGGCACCTGGAGAGTAAGTAATGGCCCTCCTATCCATTATGCAGTGTCTAGTTGGGAGGGAAACTCAAGCCCCATAAAGCATTGGTTAAGAATTGCTTTGAAACTCAAGCTCTCTGCAACTCTGGTTCCTACGATGTGATTTAGTAAACTGATGCAGGAAGTGTGGCTGACAATTGCCTCCCAGGCTCCCCATGCTGTCAAGGGGCCACGGAAATCACAGGGGCAGTACACACAGGGGGAATCAAAGCCTGGAGGCGAAGGAGTGGGCTCTTCTCAAGGGCCACCAAACCTACATGACTCCGGAGTGTTTTACGGACCCACTCTGACCAAGTACAGCAAGGCAAAGGACTGACGATTTGCCATTTCATGTGAGTGACGGACACCTTTCGTGACAAAAAAAAGAGCAGTCCCCACGGCTCCTTCTTGATGACTGTTTCACAGCAGGTAATGATGTAGCCACAATACCTGTTGCCTAGAATGCTCACATCTGCCACTTCCATCTAGCAGGCAGCCCCAAGCTGGAAGGCAGTGAAGACAGAGCATGAGAAAGATATATTCCCCCATGCTGTACTGAACGTCTGCACTGACGTGCTTCCTGGGCTGGAAGGTGTGTAGGGCAGGGGACAGTGGTCTGGGCCGGCCAGATTACTCCTGGCACTGGCCGCCAGCCCCTTCTAGCTGGGCCCCTTCCCACTCACAGGGAGAGGAGGGGGGAGAGGGCTCCCCATGCCAAGCTTGCCACTCTGTCTAAGAGGCACACATGTCTACAAACAGATGAGCCTCTACTTCATTATCACCTCGGCCGGGACATGTTCACGTCTGATATTGGATTAAAGAGGTGCTAAAATCAATCAGGCTGGAGCATAATTTCCAACACAGAGTGAAAATCAACCTTATGGGCCCACACTTAGCCAGATGGACTGCCACCACCTGATTTTATTAAAAATCGAGGACCTGTCACCACCGACAGCCTAAATTGTTCCACTTTCTTCCTTCTCTTTCCATTTTCTCCAAGATATTCCTAATGGCCTGTACCACAATCATCACCTCCTCATCATTTAATAATTTGTACTTTTAATAAACTGCTAATATTTACTGCATCCTTACCGTGTGCCAGGTCCTGGCAATATGGCAATGAACCAGAGGAGGGAAGGGAAACTAAGATTTATTAAACACCTACTGTGTGCAAGGCGCTTCCTCATCCATCATGGAATGTCACCCTTACAACCAAATTGTGAGATGCTAGTATTAGGACCATTCATAGGTGAAGAAGTTGAGGCCCAGAGAGGTGAGGAGAACTGTCTAATTGTTCTAGCAAATGGAGAGTTAGAGTGAGTGAAGAAACTTTATTTCTTTCTACCTACTGTTCTCGCGGGGATCCGAGGGGCAGAGTTCTGTCATCACCCAGTGGCTTCCACAGACCTAGGCAGTTGTAGATGGAAAGCACACAGCAGGAATACGAACATTTCTGGAGTTGTCTGGTCTGAGGAAAGTGGTCCATGTGCCAGTGCTTTATATTATAAGCCATTGAGCAGGATAACATGTATAAGGTACCCTATGCTTGCTCTGAGAACCAAACGAGAAGAGACTGCTTAATTTCTAGCCAAAGGGACTAAGGCCAGAGTCAGGTGCAAGGTCTCACAGCTAGTGAGTGGCAGAGCTAGGCCTCTGAATTCAGGTCCCGTTCTGTTTGCACATTGCCATTCCAGCAGCAGCTACGTGGCAAGACCACGAGAACAGGACCTTCACTAACCCTGCTCTACAAAAGGTCTCCTACCTGCCATCTTGCCTGCTGACTGTGTATCCAAAGAGAGGATTATTGACGAAGCTGATATTCACACCAACCAGTGGGGTCCCATCTGATGTCATCACTTGACCACGAATGACACACGCATGCCTGTGGGTAGAGAAGAGAGAATGACGTCATCTACTGTTCACGTTTAGAACCCTGGATGGCAGGGAAGCCTTGGAGGTCAGAAGACAGAAGGCAGGCCGCTCAGCCATATCTGGGCACCCAGGGGCTCGCTGTATTTACTCAAGAGGAGTAATATTCTTCTTTTTTTCATATTGACTCAATTTAAGGCATCAAAGTGTCCTCTAAAGGGTTATAACTGGGAGATGTTTGTAGATACCTTACTAGAACGTCATTTTCTAAGGATTCTATGTTATGCAGTAAGGGGATAAACTGATACAAGAGGGCTACACCAGCAGCAGAGTTAGCAGCCGGGTTACAGAGTTACGCTTGAGAATCCAGAATCATGAGACTTGGGTTCAATTCTTGACTCTGCCACTTTCTAGCTCTCTAAAGTTGCAAAAGTATGTGACCGCTCTTTGAAACTCTGTTTCTTCAGAGCAAGCTCCATGAATGACAGTGGCTATTATTGTCACTAATGGACATAGCGGAAGCGGACATACTCTCGAGAAAGTGAACAGGATAGAGAGTACATCCTCTCGTCTGGCTTTAGAAACAGCAGAAGGGCAGATGCTAAGCATCCCCCTGGAGTGGTTTCTGGAACCTGTCGCCATCTCCCAATAATATCCCCGCTCCCACTCACCCTCTATATCCCAGACAACAAACCATCTGTTTCCCCCCAACTTGTCAGGCACGTGTTGCCTAAGCCTCTGTGTCCGTGCAGTGCTCTCCCAGCTGCCTCAGTGTCACTCCAGCACCCCTCCCCCAACACTCTCATCCTTTATGACTCGGCTTCAAATGACACCTCTTCCCTGAAGTCTGTCTTGATGACCCTAATTAGACTAGTCACTTCCTTCCAAAACCTGACACAAACACCCAGATACGCTGCCACACTGCACACAGTCCTCCTCTCCACTAGATCGTGAGCTCCTTGAGGGCAGGGTCAAGGACTACTCCTTTTCTTCTGTCTGTAGTGCCTGGAAATGCCTAATAAGTACTAGGTCGTTGTTTAAAACAATGGTGGATTGAGTAAATAAGTGGGGCAATTAGAGATCATCTAGAATGATGGTTTTTCAAATATATCAGAAATACATCAGAAATGGAACCTTTTCACCAGATGATATTTTATAAGGACCGCAACATGGAAAGCAGAAACCACATCTCTCTAGATGAAATAAGAGGTTTGGAGTGATTCTGAAGGCAACTCTGGATTCTTATGTCTCTGGAGAAGCCAGAGAAAAGCCTGTTGGAAAATCAGTGAGTTGGTGGAAGAAGAGGAAACGGTTCCACAGAGGTTATGTTATTTGCCCCAAGTCACGCAGCGGGTAGTGGCAGAGCCAAGCCTCACATGCAGGGCTCACAGCTCCGGGCCCAACTTAGACCATTCTGTTTACCACTGGCAACGGGAGAAAAAGGAGGTGCTCAGTGGTGTCAACATCCTAAAGCATCAGGGCACTGGGGAGACAGCCCTGGTTGACAAGCCAGATCTGAGGCGAATATCCAGGTGTGAGTATCCAGACAACTTTTTCCATCTGCCTCTGTTCAGATGGCTTTTTTTTCTGGCTTGGAGAAGGGCTACTGATGAGACCTATGGGCATTCATAAAAAAGGGATCTCAAACAGCCTCTGCCTCATTGGGTACTTACATCTCTACCTTCCTAGAGTGATAAACTTTTCTCTGTTTGATGAGAAAAGCAATTAACACCAGGCTTGTAAGCAGCTGGTCTCACTAGTGTCAGCTTGTCCTTTCAGAAGGCAAGAACAACTACCCACAATGCATCAGCTCCCTCCCACCCGCCCACCCACCCCACCACCCACCCCACCCCACCTCACCTCACCTCACCTCACTACACCCAATCTGGTTAATGCTAATTCAGTCAGCGGTTTCCTTCCGAGGCCCTTGGTCTAAATGCAATTACACGACAAACAAGTTAAGCGGTGAGGCTCAGCAAAGACTCTCAGTCCTGCTCTGAAGGTCTCCCAATACATTTATGTGAAATTATCTCTCCACTAATGGGAAAGATTTATTCCATCAATTGTATTCAGCTGGTACTGAGAGATGCCTTCTTTAATGGAGGAAAATTGAATTTCTTATTGCTGGAACTTTGTCCTTCCAAAGAATTACTAACAGATCTCATCCTGGTGCTGGCGACTGTCCAGCCTTGTCCTGACATATGTGCCTTCAGATTCTGCTTGGATGGCAACCAGCCCTCCGGGGATGGTTTCCTTTTGGGGGCTGCCCTGGCTGCTGCCCCTCATACACATGCGGGCCAGCCTCCTCTGACTGATCTGTCTTTGGAGGTTTCCTGATCATTGGGAAATGTTAAATCAGCACCGTTTGGCTATCATGTAGCCTTCACTTCGGCCAGCCAGAGCAGATGTAATTTTAGCCCAGGGTCCCGTGGGTTGCTTGGGTTCTGGAGAAGATTAAGTTGACTCCCTGTACCCCTGGACACCACAGAGGCCTCTTGCCAAAACAGGCATTTGGCTCAGGAATTAGGTCCTGGAGAAAAACACTTCCATCCTCCTCCTGTTTAACCATGATTTTCAGTTGTCAAGAAAACCCAATTTAACACGAAGCCCTCTCTGGGACAAAGGAGATGGGGGAAGTCGGCTCTGTGGAGGCCTCTGAAATGTGTCTCATGCTGTGTTTTTTTTTTTTTTTTTTTTTTTTTTTTTTTGTCCAGGGAGGTGTGAAAAGATGTGCGTCCTGGGCTTCCAAATGCTTTCTCCCTTCATCCCATTTATTGAATGGATACCACCCGTGGTATACTGGTAAACATTTAATACTTGGCTTTCAAAAGAAAAATAGCTTTCATTGGTAGCGTTTGCCTATTTCCGTGGTGTAAATACTTCCACCCTGGCCGATTTCATGCTATTAACGAGATGTCACTGAACCCAGACTTGGGAAGAGATGCACAGTAGGACCCTATTACCAAGTCCTTCCTCCACAAGACACAAGAGTCCTAATAAACTTAGGAGAACGAGAATAGTGGAATATAGTAAAATAATTAGGAAGTGATGAGTGTTGATTATCTTTGTTTTTAATAAAATTTATTTAATTTTAATTTCACACACTTTATTTTTTCATAAGAGTAGTGTTCAAAAACTAGCCTGCAAAATTCCTGAACATTTAACAATCAGTTCTCGTAAGCGGGCATGAGCCCTCGGCTTCTGTATGCCACGGGAACAGACCCCACACTAAGGGTCAATGTGGCTGACAACTAGTTAATGCTCGGACCGTGAAATTCTACAACGGAAGACCACACCTTGGCAAGAAGTCAGTAACATGGGGTGCAAAGTGTTATCACAAACTTGGCTTTCCGGCTGCTTCATATGGCCCTCCTCTCACCAGTCCTATATTTGACAGGTTTTGCTTTCCTTTGGTCACTATCTGGGCATAACCGAGTTTTGGGGTATTATTTTCTCCTTGTCCTCAGGGTCCCATCTAAGCTGTCATCACCTCAGTGAGGTTGATACCAAGTCTTCCTGGCACAACTAATCACCTCTTCCTCTAGGCTCCCCTAGATACTTCCAAGGATCTCTCCATGACCGTGACAGTCACAGAATTCTATCATTCACATTTACATAGCTGTCTTACATGCTTGCATGCGAGTCAGAGGAGGGCTCTGACCACATCCCCTGGGGCTAGGGCAAGCACGGACATTGCTCCCTGAGTGTCTATTAGGGGAGAAATGATCAAGTACTTGAAGCTCAGAAAGGAATGACTTGCTCAAGGTCATAGAGCAAAAAACTGGCTGAGTGGACACTCAAAGCTAGGACTTCTGACTTCCAGATCTTTACTCTTACTACTATTTTAGGTACCTGCAGCCACTAAAATTCACTCTAATTAAAAAACCGGGGCACCTACTTAATAAGCTAGGCACTGTGTACTGTGTTAGATGAGGGGATTTTAAATGCGGGAATTGCTATCCCTGGTTGCTTGCTGGAGCTCACCAGAGCCAACCTGAAATGCTCGAGTGTAGCTGTCTCTGACATAAGTGAATCAACACATGGGTTTGGCATATGTCAGGCAGCTGGGGCACAAAACAGGCAATTAGGTTGAGTGAACTCTGCCAGGAAGGAGCGCTCGTGCCAGGCCAAGGGGGTGGGGGTGCGCATCAAATGAGCTGGCATTAGTCCAATCACGCTCAGGGCCTGACTGAGGTGCCCTTGCTGACACCAGTGAGGAGGAAGATCTGCCTGACTGCTTCCTGAGTACAGCGGCCAGGTTGGGAGTCAAGAGGGGAAACTGTTGGAGAGACAGAAACACCTCGAAACAAAATCAAGCAAATAAGAAGCTAACCTCAACTGTCAGTCAAGGAGGCGGGGTAGGGGATGGGCTGGGAAGCACCCTGGGCAGGGAGTCGGTTCCTACTTCTGACTCTGGTAACTAACTATAGGAGTTTGGAGAATCATCTGACCTCTCTGGACCTCCATTCTCAGCGGCCCATGTAGCTGAAGTTTTTCCCATCCTGATGTCAAATAGAATCCAATGCATGTTTAAGAATGAGAAACGTAACAGAGACCATGGAGGAAGGGAAGGGGAAAAAGTAGTTTCAAGCAGAGAGGGAGGCAGGCCATAAGAGACTCTTAAATACAGAGAACAAACTGAGGGTTGATGGGGGGGAGGGTGTGGAGGAGAGGGGAAAATGGGTGATAGGCATTGAGGAGGGCACTTGGGATGGGCACTGGGTGTTGTATGTAAGCGAAAATCACGGGAATCTACTACCCCTGAAGTCAAGAGCACACTGTCTACCCTCTATGCTAGCTAAGTTGACAAGAAATCATCTTTAAAAAATATGTATAATGGTTTTAATATAGTGCTACCCATTCTAGCTCAAGTAGCCCTATCATCCCTAGCTTTAGAATCTTCATGGAGTTCATACAATCCTGATACTTACCTCTGAACTGTTCGCTCTCTATGGAAACTTCTACCTATCCTGTTCACCTGAAACCCACCTGCATCCATCGAGTGGTACCCCG